TGGTGTGGGACCCTCCAGTTCTGGGACCTTGCACCCTCTTTTCCAGGCTCTCCACATCCCAACTCTGCCCCACCACCACCTTCTCACATTTTAAACCATATAGATACCCACCCCCCAACACACACACACACACACACACACACACACACACACACACACACACACACAGGCACACAAGTCCGAGCCTTTTCTCACAATCATTGAGTTTTGGAGTTTTGATTGGCTGACCACTCATTTGTCGGTGGAGTAACACAAACACAGCTCTACTCTTTGGGGGAGTCAGGGAGGAGGCGATGACCCCCCAGAACATTGAGGTGACAGGATTCGAACCAAGGACTCCCCGGCTTGTGGCCGACCGCAGGCTCACCTGGCTGGCTGGCATCCGCCAGGTGATCTTAAAAGAATGTGTGCCTAGGTGGCAGGTTCCTGCAGAAATATGCCTATAAACACCCAACACCCTACTCTGCTGCACCTTATAGCTACTGGCTTTGTACACTTTCCAACCGAAACTGCTAGATGCAAGAGGGAGGGGTGGGGGGGGGCAGGTCCTGAAGGGACTAAAAGTCCAGTAAAACTCGCGTTTGGTTCAGGTTTACTAGGGATCCTACCTAGTAAAGGATCTCTCCACCTTGAGGAGTTAAGAAGGGGCCGGAGAATTCTTATTCTTATTCCACCCCCTCCCCTCCCAGCAGAGCACACTGGCGCAGTCCAGTCCACATTCAAGGAAAAAAAAAAATAAGTACATTTGCCCCTACGGCGGCATGCCCTTTCCCGCGTGCTAGCTGGAGCGCATTTTATAAAACAAAAACCAAAAAACAAGAAATTAAGATTTTTTTCTTTAGCACGTGTTCAGAGTGGCGACCGAAAGAGAGTACGCACTTTCCATTCCCAGCCTCTCAGAGACACGCTGCCAACCTCTGCTCCGTCTCACGCCGCACCCCACGTGCTGGGGACGGATTCGGTGCGAGGTTCACCTTCGGGAACCCTTAGTAGTCGGAGGGGGAGGTAGATGCGGAGCTGAAGGAGAGCCTCTCAGGCGGGAAGCGCTCTAACTTTGCAGTCTCCAGACATTGGGGACTCCGTCCGGAGACCCTCTCTCTCCTCCCCTCCTCCGCCGCCCTCCCCCGCCGCAGGCCACTTCTCCCACCCCTAGGGTCCCCTCCCCGCTGGAATTTCACTGCAAAGCCAAGAGTGGGGGAGGTAAGAAGCGAGGGGCCCTCCGCAGACTCTGGAGACGGGAGGACCCGCCACCCAGACTTTGTCCTCCGGGTGGGCGAGCCCCGACGACGACCACCCGCCTCTTCTCCGCCCCCGAGAGCCCGATGCTGTCTTCACCGGAGGTGCAGAGCAGACCCTGCAGGGCTAGCTAGCCTTCGGGTGATTTGGAGAGAATGGAAGTCCTCAGTCGGGGTGGATGACACCTCCAAACACCTATGTCGCCCCGTATTTTGCTCCCCTGTCCAGGAGTTCTGTCAGATCCGTTCCTCCGAGGTGGCCCTGGGCAAGTTTTTAGTCATTGCTTTATGGGGTCTTATAACGTAAATTCACGTATCTGTCCAGGGTGACACCAAAAATCTTCCATTTGGGAATCCTGTGATTAAAACCAACAGGTGACGGACCTTGCACTAGCCAAGTGTCATCTTGGGCGCCGGACTGTTTCATTTTGAGTTTGCAACTTGGGCTTTTCAATGAGTTGTTTTTTTTTTTTTTTTCCCGAAAGCTAATGGCTTCCACTGCAATTAGACATTTTCCTCGCCCTCCCCTTCCCTCCCCTTGCTTTCCGTGCAGTAGATTGGATACTAATTCTCGCTACCATTGATAAGGTAC